GACAGGGACCCTTACTTTAGGCAAAACAAGTCAACCTACAAATGCAAGCTTAACAAAACAAAATCATGCAGATGCACATGAACATGGCTAAGACGAGGATGAGGGCCATTACACAACATACATCAAAACGGCCTCGGGCCCAATCACATTTCAAAACAACCTTGGGCCCAATATATAACAAAACGGCCTCAGGTCCAATCATATATCAAAACGACCTCAGGCCCAACATATAACAAAACGGCCACAAGCCCAATCCTATAACAAAACAACCTCGGCCTAACATATAACAAAACGGCATCGGGCTTAACGTTGCACATTGCATATAATATTAATGAGGTTTCTCATTTCAAACAAATCATAATGTCAACACCATTCACCATTTATGGTTTGAGGTACACAATAACGAACATATAAATATGGTATTATTACTCACAACGAGATTAATCTTGTGGCATTTCCTCCAGCACACGACCTACACTAAACATGTCACACACATATTCGATAAGTAATTCACTTCAATTGTACTATTTTCTTTCATTATTCACAACCTTCTTTAATGAGTTTCTATTCATAATTTAACTCCCAAAAGGGGCTAAAATAAGGTTGGGAACGCATTCTGGAGGTCAGGGTAGCAAGACAAAACAACACAATTTTTTTTCCTGTTTGGTCCAGCCGCTTGAGTGATCTGGCTCCGCACGTGGAGAAATGGTTGCCACTCGAGCGCATAGTGAGAAGTGGGTTTAGGCTTAAATCTTGGGTGCTCGCGCGGAGCCCGAGGCCACACGAGTGGTCTGGGCTCACTCAAGCAGTCCGAAAATAGCTTCAAGATGCAAACGTTTTCCTTTTATTCCTAAACCCCAATCCATGTAAAAACAACTCAAAAACATGATATCTAAGCATGATACAAGTGTAATTCCACATTAAACATATCAATCTTGCATCAACAACAATTTCATGGTCCCATCTTTTCACAATTTCATGGTTTACATTCATATGTTCAAAATACATATATTCATGAATGATTTTCTCACAAATCTTGTTTATATGAACCATCTAGGGTTTGTTTCATGGATCAGTCATAAAAATGAACTCAAATCAAACAATGGTGTAGAGATTAAGGTCCAATTTCATGCCTTTAGCTCTAGTCATTACACAACTCAAAATCCTAACTCAAAATTCCTAATTTCTTCATGATTTCTTGACAAAGATGAGTTAAAGACAAAGTTTGTAAGTAAATTAACATACCTCAACTCAAATCTAAGATTTGCCCTTTGATTTTCTTCAAATCCTTAGCTTTCTCTTCCTCTCTCTCTAGGGCTCTCAACCAACAAATGAAGAACAATAGGGCTAAACACACATATATGACCCAATTTATGAAACATGATTAAATCATTATGAATCATAATTTTTCAAAATTTCATCGTAAGCTCTATAAATCATATTAATCATAGATATGAAGTCGCTTTTTGTTTATCACGCCTCTAAGGCCTTCAATTTCGGTTCAAAGTCCAATTGCAACAGATATTTCTATTTTTAACAGATATTTTTTCAAATTCATGTAATTCACATACTTAAATTTGTAAATTCATCTCGACTACATAATCACATGCATAATTAAGTATAGTACGAGTTGGGTTATTACATTAGTCCACATTATTTTCTTATATTCAAATAAGTCTTATGAGTGATATAGTTACCAAAATACCTCTAATAATATTCACATTTAAAGTATAAATGTTCACACCGTTAATATAAATATTCATACTATCAATGTGAACATTCACACATCAATGTGAATATTCACATTATAAAATATGAATGTTCACATTACCAATTTGGTAACCGTTCAAAAAATATTTATAAGGGTAGAAATATCTATAAAATACTTTAAATATGAGAATTAGGATTTGGTAGATCAAATGTTGAAATAATAGAATTTATTTATATTTTATGGATTAATCGGGATACAAACACTTGAAAAAGGATTTTCTAATAAATCTTCATTTATTTTATTATGTTATTTTTAAATTAAAAATAAGATAAATTACAACCAGACATTGAGGTTTTAGATAGGGACATTTTTTTTAAAATTTTTATAAATCTTTTATTTAATTTTGTTTATTTCATTAATTAGTTGTAGGAGTTTGATATAATTATATTGGATTTTATTTTAATAAAAAATAAAATTAAATTCAAATGTTTTTGGCCCAACCCAACCACGCACAAGCCCAGCCCAGCCCGCCCGACCGGCGGCGGCGGCGCGCGTGTGGTGTTTTTTTGGGTCCAATGGGTCTAGCCCATTTTGCCCATAACCTCTCCCTCTAAAACACTTGGGTACCCCTTGGGGCACACCCCAAGTATCTCACCCTAAGCCTTATAAACCCTTTCAAAACTTCCCACCAAATCAATGTGGGACAAGCCAATTTACAACCTTAAGGAATTTCCACCAAAACTCCATTTCCATGGAGTACACTTTGGCTTCAATTTCCCATTCACTCGGTAATGGTTTTGATCAACCAAATATACCACGTGAATCACAACGCGGCATAGAACGCGTTACCACTTTGACCCGAGTAAATCGACACTCGGGGCCCACCTAAAAAATAGACCGAACTTAGGAAAAAATTCTGGTTTTATCCAGAATTTTATAACCATTTCCAACAATGAATATTCACATTAAATAAATTTGACAGTGTAAATGTTCACGTCGACAATGTGAATGTTCACGTCATTGAGCATTCACACACCTTATTATTATTAGAGGGATTTTGGTGTTTATCATATCACCTCTAGTACTAATTGGAATATAAAAAAATAATTTGGATAGTAGAAGATAAGTAAGAGAAGAGAGATTTATGAATAAATCTCGCTTTTACAATTGACATGGAATTATATAATTCTAATTATATGTTTATTTTACATTATTAATTATAAAATAGACAAATTTATTAAGATTGAAAAAAAAAATTAAAATTAATATTTAAATTAATAAAATTGAAAAATAACTAAAATTTATTTTATTATAAATGTCACATTCTACATTATTTTTTTTCTAATTTTTTATTAAGATTGAAAAAAAAATTAAAATTAATATTTAAATTAATAAAATTGAAAAATAACTAAAATTTATTTTACTATAAATGTCATATTCTACATTATTTTTTTTCTAATTTTATTCCAAGATTCTAGTCTAATTTTTTTAATACTATTATCAAACTAAAATGCAAGATTCTAGTCTAATTTTTTTAATGTTATTGTCAAACTAATGCAACTTTGCCAAATGGGAGCAGCTTGCCTCAAATTCGAGATTGGTTTAGACGATACCATTCGGTTCATGGGGGTTCACAAAAGGTTTTATTTTGATAATTCGAACCGTTAATATGTAAAACTCATCGAGTACTATCTTCCTGTAAAAAATTATATTAATCGAATATCGATAACTATCTCATTATATCAGTTTTTTGTCTACCATTAATTTGTTTGTCACTTTTTTTTTATATAAAATTGATTTGATCATATAGTTATCGATATCCAATCAATGTGATTTTTTATAAAAATATATTACTCAACATATTCTACATATTAAATAGTTCAAGTTACTGAAACGAGACCCGTGATAAACTCCCATAAGCCGAACATCACTGTCCAATCTGATCGCGCACTGTAGGCAAGCTGCATCCTTGCCAAATAATGTCGAAGTCTTTTTTTTCTATAGGCCAACCTAGTCACGGAATCTCCTTCAATAAAACCCAATCATCTTCCTTTCTTCGTCACTCAGCCCAGCCCCCACAGACTTCGGAGAGAGAGGAAGAGAATCACATGGCTTCTTCCACCTCCATCTCCCTCATCCTGCTCCTCATCGCCGTCGTCGCTGGCGCATCATCGGCGACCACTTTTTCCGACGAGAATCCGATCAGGACAGTCGTATCGGATGCTCTTCTTCGCGACTTCGAGACCTCCGTTCTCAAAGTCATCGGCCACTGTCGTCACGCCCTCTCCTTTGCTCGATTCGCCCACAGGTTGAGCCTTCTTCTTCCTTCTCCTCTCTCCCTCGCCGTCTGATCAAGATCACACGGCTGATTTATTTTCTATCTCCTCTGACGACCAACTCTGAAACTTTTCAGGTATGGAAAGAGCTACGAGACTCCCGAAGAAATGAAGCTACGGTTCTCGATTTTCTCGGAGAACTTGAAGCTCATCAAATCGCACAACAAAAAGAAACTTTCCTACACTCTTGGTGTCAATCGTAAGTCAATTTACACACATACGCATATGGATCTGTATATCTATATCTATCCTGTTGTTAACACGAATTCGAATTCATCATATCTGATAAGCTTGAGGATGAGAATTCTCCATTTGATTGGTTGAAATTTCGCGATATACTACTGTATCTGAGAAAATTGAAGAAAATATGAAAGAAGACAATATGATGAAGATTAGAGAGAGAACAAGAACAGATTTCATTACCTTGAATCTGATATAACACTCTAACAAACTCAAATTGAAAGATACATGTCTAACTAACCATGCAATCTATCCAGCTGGCATAACTGTTTTCTTAACTAACTGTTTGTTACATCACTAATATCATCTAGCTCAGTTCAGCTACACTATTGTCATCTAATATTAAATTCAGCTGAAATCATGTTATTAATTTTTATTTTTTTATTTTTTTTGGGCATGAAATTTTGTGCTTTGACTGATGGAAATTTACTGAATTTTCTAATTTAACAATATTGCAATTTTTTTTTTAATCCATTTGATAGTTGAGTGGGGCGATCTCACTCCATCTTATGGATTTGTTTGATAAGTGCCCAGCTTTGTATTAAGAAAGAAATATAAATAGTGTAAATTATGTCAGAACAAATTTTGTGTTTTTTGTTTTTGTTTCCCGATTAAGTTCCTAATCTAAGTTTGTGTTCAAATAAGTCCGCTAACTTTCCAAATTGGTTTAATTGAGCCCTTTGTTTATGTTCCGTATACTTTTGGCAGTTAAAACATATCATATGGGTTGATATTTCGCATGGATTTAGTTCATATTTCATAGCTTATTTTGAAGAATACATACTTAATACACATACTTACATGTAAGTGTGATATGTTATTTCATACCAGCTTGTTACTTTACATTGAAATGATATTAGTGCTAATGTTACTAGTTGTGGTTCTACTTTGTTTGTTGATTCTGTACATTTTGTGAAACAGACTTTTCCGATTGGACCTGGGAAGAGTTCCGCAAACATAGGTTGGGAGCTGCTCAAAACTGTTCTGCCACCACAAGGGGAAATCACAAGCTCACTGATGAAGTTCTTCCTAATTCGGTACTCTTTTTTTGGGGAGATTTTTTGGGATGTTTTGATTATGGTACCTGTTGCTTTCAATATGAAATTTTGTTTGCATGCGTTGAATCTTGCTACCAAAAAAAACCATGGAAGCCTTGTGATTTGAGATGCAATCTAACAATCTATGAAGTTGATCTATCATAGTTCTGCCAGGAATGCACATCATTTCATAATACATACCATTGAAACTACTTAAATGACCTTGCTTTTGTTAGTACTGAAGTGAACTTCTTAATACAATGATGTGGGTGCATGTATGTGAGAGCAAACTTTGAACCAGACGTAAAGACCTTGCCATTATTGACTTGGTATTGATTTATATTGTCTATATAAGAATATTATTTGCAGGAACTCTTAACCATCTGCCAGTAAAAATTAAAATTTGTCTCTTGCTTTGTATACATGAATTAGTTTTCCAACATATGAAACATCTTATGTTCTGTTTCTGTATTATAGAAAGACTGGAGAGTGACAGGAATAGTCAGCCCAGTCAAAGATCAAGGCCACTGCGGATCTTGCTGGACTTTCAGGTTGGAAATAAGATCAGAATATGTAATTTTTTGTGAAATGAGAACACTGAATTGAAATCATTATCATGTTTGTAGTAACCCACCTATGTTCTCTTTTTTAGCACCACAGGGGCTCTGGAGGCAGCTTACAAGCAGGCATTTGGAAGGGCAATCTCTCTATCAGAACAGCAGCTTGTGGATTGTGCAGGAGCTTTTAATAACTTTGGCTGCAATGGTGGGTTGCCATCCCAAGCCTTTGAGTATATCAAATACAATGGGGGTCTTGACACGGAGGAAGCATACCCTTACACTGCAAAAGACGGCGCTTGCAAATTTTCTTTTGAAAATGTTGGTGTCCAAGTTCTTGACTCTGTCAACATTACCCTGGTAAGATTTATGGGCTATTTTTCTTCAACTTTAAAACAGTAAACATTTCGTCTTGCTGTGGGTAGAGTTGACAGAACTCTATCCATACCAGATTAGGCTTGATACCTTGGTATATTTTGTTCTAACACGCAAACATGGATCTAGAGCCAGCCCTGATGGTAGGCCAGCACTGCCTGCCTTGGGTCCCCAATTTTAACAAAATTTAAGAGGCCTTAAATAATTTTATTTATTCATTCCAACTTATTCTAAGTTCACAATTTTATGTACTAGAAAGATTAAACAAATTAACTATGTAGTAGATAAGCAGGATTATGTGAGGTTGATTAGTACTTTTATATCTAAAAATACGAGAAATCAGTGATACTTTGCCATAGGTGGTTTAATTTTTATTTCATATTATATCTTTAGATTTTGTTTGGGATTTTATTTCTTGTGAGAAACTGAATTTTGCTAAACTATAAAACAAGAAGACTAGGTTTTGTCTTTTTGAGTTTTTGTAATGCTTTTTTCATATGTTAAACTATATAAATAAATTTTAGTACGTAAATTTAGTGATTATATATGCAAGCAAACTTTGTTTGGGTATTAGCAAATAAAAAAAAAATAAAGTGACTAATTTCCATTTTACCCAAAAACTATTATAAACTTTTGTATGGAGGCCTTATTTCAGATTTTTGCATAGGGCCTCAAAAATCTTAGGACCGGCTCTGTGTGGATCCTAACCAAGCCAATTATGACTATTATGGCTTGCCAATTCTAACTGCACCAGCCTCTGTAAACCCAACTGTGCTCAGTTCCTGAGCTAAACTAATCAGTAAAGTTTGATTTATTGACCTTATCATCAATTATTCTTGGTTTGCTACACAGCAAAAATGTGGAACTGAATTCACATTCTATTAGATTCAGACAACAGAAATATTGTGGGAGTTTGATAGCAACTTGAATGCCCCAGTTGAGCTGACTTTTAAAAATATTTACAGGGTGCTGAAGATGAACTAAAGCATGCTGTAGCATTTGTCCGGCCAGTGAGTGTGGCATTTCAGGTGGTGGATGGCTTCCGATCGTACAAGGATGGAGTTTACACCAGTGACACATGTGGCAAGACTCCAATGGTGAGCGTTTAATTTGAAGTACGCAGTATTATTTGGATGATAAATTGAATGAAAATGCCTCAAATTGATATGTTTTTTCGAATGTTGAAGCTTTTGTAGATGAAGCCACCAAAATCGTAGTATATTTCCCTTGGATGGCCTTCTACTAGGAGCTTCAACTTCCGAAAAAAAAAAAAAAAAAAGAGAGGAGATTATCAGTATAATTTTTAATGTCATTGTCATTATTATTTTATCTATTCTCGATTGTAACAGAGATTTATTAGACTTGCCAAAAAGACCAAACGCTAATAAGTTCCAAAAGTATGCGTCATCAAGAAGCTTGTATATTTCCTCTTTTGTAATGGATACAGAATGCTAATGAATTCCCCCACCAAGGATTATCTATACACTCTTATGATGCCAAAGTGTTTCTCTGACATTCACTTCTAATATATGGCAGGATGTGAACCATGCTGTTCTTGCTGTTGGGTATGGAGTTGAAAATGGTATCCCATACTGGCTTATTAAGAACTCGTGGGGAGGAGACTGGGGCGATAATGGCTACTTCAAAATGGAGATGGGGAAAAACATGTGTGGTAAGTTCCTTCTCTAATTTTGCTCCATCCCTCTTTAACAAACGGACGTGCTAGGATCGGCCATGCCTAATGGTTTTTGCATTGGCATCTTGTGTGTGATTTGACTTCATAAATTGCTGAATGTAGTAATGAAGCTGAAATATGCTATATAGTCAAAATCCTACGCTTGAATGCTTTAGATTAAATGACTAATACTAAAAAAATCAATTGCAGGTGTTGCAACTTGTGCATCATACCCAATTGTTACATAATTGTTCTTCAAGAAATGACTTCTTTCAGAGTTTCACTGAGAGAATCCCGGTATGAAGTCATCTGGCTTGTGTCTAAAATGTAGTAATTTTCCATCTATAAGGTGAAGAAGGGTCATGTTGTAATGATCTTTGATAGTTCAGATTTAATGTACAAAATAAGAACAGAGCTAATATTGTTGCTGGACTTTGTTGTACCCGAAAGACACTTAAATTTCCTTCATGAATATGAATGCTTTATGTTGATCTCTTGAATGGATGAGAATTGAGTGTTGATCAAATGTCTATAAGAATAGTGACATACTCAAAATGTTGATAAAGCTTGTTGATGATGCATTGCTTTCAGAACTCATTAGTGTGTTTGTTTTTGGCAAGTTTCATAAATCTCTTTAAAATCAAGAATAGATAAAATAATAGTAATGACGATGATATTAAAAATTATAGTAATATTCTCTGTCACAGCCTCTTTCTCTCTTCTTCGTTGTCTTATTTTCTCTCTCTTTTCTTAAGCATATACATTCAATTGTCATCCAAATACTACTACAAATAGAAACACTCACCATGAGAGTCCTGTCATGTGTCACTCGTGCAAACTCCGTACTCGTAAAATCGGAAACACCATTCATCACCTCAAACAATTTCCACCCTTCACTATTTTGTATAAAGTGTTTTAGCCGTCGATTGGCCATCATTTTGGCATCATAACTAAAGGTTGTGTATAATTGTTTTGAACACAATAAATATTTTTATAAAATGTGTTACCATAGCTATTTTCAATAATTTATGTAACATGTTATGGGTGTCTTATTTCACACGAGTGCACCTAATTATATACATAATGCTCACCTAGTATTCCCTTCGTTTGATTAAATCCAAGTCAAGACATCTAAACTTGTCACTAGAACATTTCTCTAATCATCAACAATAATTAACATTACATCTAAATAGTTCTAATTAAATTTTGGCACCATTGAAATTTTGGGTCATTTTATCTATCCCTCACGTTATAGAATATTCTCCTTCTAAATTTATATTCATTTTGGTATAAAAAACCATCATAATCTATATAATTTAGTATAGATACATTTGGGTAACCAGCATCTATAGAGAGGAGTTTGATGTCAAAAAAAACAAAGAAAGTCCCAAACATATTCGAAAACAGTTTGATCGAACCCCACCAAATCTTGCCTACAGTAGTACATAAACAAAGTTAGTTTTGCATGTGATTATTTAAAAAAAAAAAAAAATTCAATTCAAAATGTTAATATTTCATGACAGAGGGATTATATTGTAATAAAATTGAAAATGTAATAACCAAATCATTCAAATTAAAACGATGAAAAACTAGAGTGAAATTTCACTCAAACTAGAGAGACCAATCGTGTGATTTACTCAAAATAAAAGAATAATTCTGTGGATGTAGATTTCCAACCACATAACCAAACGGGAAACTTAGTTGGAGAGTACTGGTAAAATAGATTAAGTTCAACAACCTGCATAAGAAGATGAGAATCCGACGGTGGTTTGTCCACATAGGGGCACTCCGACGATTAAATCAGTAACCTCTTAAAGATATCAAAAAAGTACTTAAACTCGCCATTTACTGCCCACAGTATGTTACACATACCTGAGACCCACGTGGGTGCCCTACTTTTATAGCTAGTACTGACCTGATCCCTTTAGAAGCCTAGCTTCCATGGACTCAGGCTCAATGCTTATCCAGGTCCTTCAGCTAGATAGAGATAAACTCTTCTTGACTCTTATCTTTATCTAGACTGAGATCCCCCTTGTTTTAGGACTCTTGTCCCTTATCTACTTATCTAAAATTTCGGTATCCTCACAGATAACTTCGTCCTAGCCGATATCATCTCGGCAACGTGACCAGGCCACGTGGCACCTCAACTTATACTTCGGCATCACCTTAGTCACATGCTATCATTTACAAAATACGTCCCCACAACTGCCCCCTAGGTTCTATTACCTCGACAACCTAAAGTGATAGAAGACACATCGTTTGTAGACACGGCTAAAAATTCATTTCTCTCTTTGACCGAGATCATCACGCATTGGCTTCATATAACTAGGACTCAACTGTCCACTTTCTCAAGGATCAAGAACTAAGAATCCAGTTCTTTAAGCATCTCAACCGAGATCGCTCCTATGGTCGAGGTCATGGCCTCATTATTTTAAGAATTTCAAGAGTTCCAATTGTGCACGAGCTGTCACGCACTGTCTTTTCAACCATTTTCTCCATGTGTCCCTCAGTTATTGGCTCGTACCTGACACGCGCCATCAAGTCACGTAGATTCTGCCCACGCCACCTGATAGGCATGCCACCCAAGGTCTTCATTACGTTTTGCTGCCTCTTCATATTTTTGACAAAACTCTCTCTCTTCTCTCTTCGTCTCTTCACTTTTGCAATCACAACCTCTCTCTACGCTTAGACCTTTTCTCTCTACATTCCGCCATTGTTAATCGTTCAAAGCTCTGTAACTGTGCTCCGCTCATTACCTCCGGTGAAGCAGTCATTGTTCTGCTTTGATCATTGTGGTCGTTAGATTTCGAAAACACCTACTTCGGGGTTCATTTTCTCGGCCCTTGTTGGTAAGTCTTTAATTTCTTCTTTTTCAATTTCAATCTCTAAAATGTTTTTTTCTTCGATTTTGCCACAAGCCCATGCTGTACTTATCCATGTGATGTCATTGAATATGTATTTGTGTTTGGATCTTGAATCACTTTTGCTTTGATTGTGTTCTCGATTGCATACCATTGTTTCACACACCGTCACCTAGATGTTTACAAATGTATTTTTGCTTGCCTCTGTGCTTTCTGCATTTTAGCTACTTTCCATTCTTGAATCTTGCTCACCTCTAATTCTATTTGATTCTGAATCATGTTCGTTTTCTGTTTTTCTTGCTTGTTTATTTTCCAGATTCTTGCATCTGTTTCTTGTTTTCGTAGTTCTAGGTTTGGGTTTTGCTCTAGAGCTCTGTTTCTTAGAAAAACATAAATGAATTTCCCCTTAGATCTTCAAAAATCCTTGCCCTAGTGCCTGTTTAGGGTCTAGCTGAGGTTCTAAAAGCCCTGCCAGTGTCTTTTCTTGGAAATCCATCACAAAACACTTTATGCCGAGATCATGGGTATGTTTAGGTGGAAGGTAGACACACCGGCCAAACCAGAATACTTCATGCAATAGTTCTCCATCCCAGCTAACGTTCAACTTCGGTTGGCTAGGGATGATGACTCCATCATGCTTGGGAAGGACTACATGCCCTTTTCCGTAGTGTCCATTATTGAGGGTGGAGTTAGATTTCCCCTCGACGTTCTCTTCGGAAAGTCCTACACTACTACAAACTCAATCCTATACAATTGGCAATTAACTCCTTTAGGATTATCAATGGCATTGCCGAGCTGGCACGTAGGCAAAATGCCAGAATAACCCTATCCGACATCCAGTACTGCTATGCTATGTGTGGCCTCAAGACCAACATTGGCTACACATATTACCTCAAGCCGAGATCTATACAATACAAGTTGATAGTCAACATTCTAAACTCAAATAAAGGTGCGGCAAACGACTACTTGATTGTCTCGGGCAATTGGGAGTTCGCGCCAGATGATGAGCTCCAACTTTTCCCCTTGCGCCGCGAAGTTTTTAGGGATGACAAGGGTAAGGACTTAGTCCCTCCCCAAAGTCCATTTTCTACCATCCAACAATCTTTCTGTTAACTGGTTCTAATGTTCTTTTTTTGTTTTTTCAGTCCTTCCACAGCTAGAAAAGAACTTTCAACAGACATACATACCAAGCAAGGACTTGGTTCTCTTTCTCAGCTTACCGATTAAAGTCCGCAAGGCTCCAATCCTTCTACACTACATCCCGATGTACCGGAGCCCTTTGCCCGACGTCCCCCAAAGAAGTCAGACTCCTCCATCTACCACAACTCCACTGGCTGCTTTATCACCAAGGCCAAACCAAGCCTCCACATCTGATCCAGCAGAACATCCGTCCACTTCTGCACCGCAGTTGATTCCTCCTGTAAGAACCTGAGTTTTTGGACAACTAATTAGTTTGTTAATAACAATATTAAGTCAATTAATAGTGATTATTAAATTATAATGTTAATAGCATCATGATTAATACCAATATTAAATTCCTTTAAATAAATTTATTTATCTTTCTTAAGGCTTAGTTTGGTTTGATTTGGTTTGGTTTCTGTATTTAAATACAATTGTGAAAAACTAAATGAGTTAAACAGATAATAACTAAGTTAGTCAAAGGATAGTAAGGAGCAAAACATCTAGTGAATAGGTTATATATAAATATTGATTATATATATATAATCAAAATTCAGATTATGGGCAGAGCATTTCGGTTGCATTTTCTTCCCAATGAGGTTGCTGTCAAGGCATGCCAAGGCATGCATAGAAACATACCCCATGCCTGCCTTGTAGGTAATATTTCCCAAGTCAAGAGGAAAAAAAAGATAAAAATAAAAAATAAAAATGAAAATAAAATAAAATAAAAATAGACCTCCAAACTCCTACAAATAATAACACTATTTAGCCCTTTCATTTCTATACACACGGCTGAGCAAAGAGAAAAAAAGAGAGAAAGAGTAGAAAAGAAAAGAAAAAGAGAAGAAGAGGAGAGGGTGCTTGGTGGTCACCATTTCAAAACTAATTTTGAGAATAGTTTGTAAAAACTCTTGAGGTAAGAATACTCAACCTTTATCCTCCCTTAGACATTTTTTTTACTAAATCTGTATATTAAAAATATGCAAAAGTGTGCATTGTTAATACACACATAGCAAGAATATCTCAATGCATGTTTATATTTTGATAGAATAATAATTTCATGATTATATGATTTCTATTCCTTTTTACAAGCATAGATTAGATGGTTTAGCTACTAATTTTATCTTCATATGTGTTCAAATATTCTTCATTGTTTGAAATAATCTTGCATGAGAGTAAAATGAGATAAGGTTGGTTCATTTTTACTTGAAACTTATATTTTCTTCACTGTTTCAAATTTTATCGAAGGTAAATAAAAAATATGTTGGTACCGGGAGCGTATATAAGTGTTCTATATACGTGTAAATTTTTATAAAATCATTAGACACCATTTTCTTACCAAAATAAATATTTGTCCTAAGTGTTGTTCACAACACAACAGAAACAGTGACTTCAAACAGGTCCCATTTGCTCTACAAATGGTATTTTTCTGCACGACCACTTGGGAGATATAAGAGTTATCTTTCATTTGTCGCCAATTTCACAAAAAATGGATAAGCCTAAAAGGAGAAATTGTAGTTTTACTAAAATACGACAAAATCTGTTCTATTTTCTTAGAAAACTTATTTGACCATCTTTCATTAGTTTTCAGACTTCAAACTCTTCTGAAAATATGTTCTAAACTCAAATATCTAGCAATCCGTTCTGACCATACCTCTTTTTGACACTGTTTGATGTCCGTTTTATTTTTCAAACTGTAACTCACTGTCCCAGAAACCAGTGTTCTTTCAAATTTTGTTTCTCCATTTTAAAATAGTTTTTAGCCCTGGTATTCTCGCGAAATATTTTCCTAACTCAATAAACTAGCACCAGTTAAAATATTATAATAATTGAATTTTGTTTGATATGGATTTCATTATTTTTAGTCTATAGTACTGAAAAGAAAAAGTATGAGGAATTCGTTGAAATTTTGTGATGACTCCTAAGACATTCTATAATATTTATTTTGGTTGCCATACGTGATTATGTTGTACTATATAAACCTTATGTCACTACGGTTTGCAAACTAAAACTCGTACATGCATCAAAATGTGAATTCGACAAAGTAAAGAAACACGAAATTGAACAGATGTATTAAAGTTTAAAAGTGATAGGGTGAACCCGGTTTAGAGTCCTGTGCAAGTGAGTTGCGAACCCTAACATGGCAAGGGAAGGTATTTCGGCTCTAATCGGTATAGGCAATATAAAGTTGGTGGTATGGGTATCACAACATAGACCGTTTCCTTGTGGCAGACCATGATGTCACGACTCGGGGTACGTAATCCTGGTGCGTGGGCATCATTGGTAGTTATAGCAAGTAACATTTGAATATGTGACCAAGGAGGAGTCAGAATTGCCCGTGTTCATTGTTTAGCGATTGAGTAGAAATAGTGCTCTGCGGGGAGTTACTTAAACTTACCTGATAAACTAAACTTATGTGAATTTAAAAGAAAAATTGACATTTTCCTTATGATGAATTACTGCTTCTGCTTGCCATTGTTTTTGTTATCTATTGTTATTATTTCAACTGATAGCATTCATGTTATGTTTATTAAACGCTGCTTGTTACTCTATTACTACACATTATTCATTAACTGTGAGTATTGTATTTGAGTAGGTATTTTCAGGTTGTAGCATCTTATTGAGCTCGTCGCTCATTGGCATTCCCGTTGTCCTGGCGTTTTATGCTAGGTACCGAAGAAACCGAAGGAAACACCGAGGTCTTGGAAGATGACATTCAACCTTAGTTAGCTTGAAGTGTGCCTAAGTTCCATGAACCCTTTTTCTGAATTTTTTTCTAGTTTTCTTTTTTGTATTTGTGTCTTTCTTTCATGTACAAAGACTAAGTCTTAAGTTTTATTGGAGTTGTAATTTAAGAACTTTTAATTTCTGTGTTGTTAATTAATGAATGATGGTAAACTTAGTGGCAACATTGATGAGGAGTTCTTAATTAAGAAAATTGATTTTAAGTTTTAAATCTTAAATTGATGTCCTCAAATTTTAGGGCGTCACATCTCTAGCCCAGCGCCAGCGCCAGCGCCAATGCCGAGCTCTTTCTAACGCCCTTGTCGGCAGAACTCGCAACCGCAGACGCCAAGGTCCTGTTTTCTCGGCCACAGACCCATCCAACCCTCCAATTGCACAGCCAGTAATTCATTTCTGCCCCAGAGTAATTGTTGCTGCTACCTCCGACGACATGGGCCGAACAAAAATTGTTCCAGATGATCTCCTCACCGATATCCCGGGCATGGTATCGATTAATTCTTCCTCCCTATTCCAATCCCAACCAAAGCCCAAGGCAAAAAGGGTAAAAAGGGCTAAGGCTAAAGCCATCACCACCGAAGTCGAATCGGAAGACATAGTGCCAATTTCAAAGTTGGCCGAAATCGAAAAACGTTCAGCCAAAGCCGAGGAGAGGCCCGCCAAGGAAGGATCCTCCGGGGCGCCTCATCAAAGAGGCCAAGGTTGGAGAGTAAAGACCAACTTGGCATTTTTCGTGCCGACAAGCCCTAGGCCCCATAACTTATGGTCGGAGACCGACCTTTGCTTGCAGGGGACAGTGCTCTCAATGATGTGAAAGTTGGTGCCGCCATCTCTACCATCGTTCTTTTGCTGGCTAATATCAACTGAATGGCCGAGCTAGCTGAGTATAAGAATTATGCGCTAATGATGCAGCACTGTGTTTTGGTAAGTTTGTACACTTTGTTTCTTTTCGTTTAATTTCAATTCTGGGTTTTGTACTTTAACAAAAATCTTCATTCCTTTTGATCTTTGCAGGCCATTCAGCAAGGTCACTCATTTGCAATTAAGGCCGAGGCGTTTAAGAAGGAGTTGACTGACAAGATAAAAGAGGCAACCAAGCTCATTTCTTTGCTAAACCAGGCCGAGGCTTGCATCCGAGGTCTGTTTGATCAGGCTAAGGCTACCAAAGCGGCCCAAAACAAAGCCGAAGACCGTGCTGAAGTGGCTGAAAATGTTGCTGAGGTCGTTAAGGCTAAAGTAAAGGAGGCTAAGGAGAAAAAGGCCCAGGCCTAGATCGAGCTCCAAACAACACTTGTCATAAAAGTAGCTGAAATCAAAACATCCGACGAGAAGGCATATGCCGAAGGGGTAGCTGATGTCCGTGATGCCTATAAGAAGCGAGTCAATCAGGTGTGTAACAAGGGTTATACCCTTGGCTGGATGGCTGCTTTGAAGGAGTTGGTCATCCCGGACGACTCGCCTCATTGGGATGCTAGCTGACTTGTCATACCATTTCCTCTTCCTCCAAGCCAATATGAGAATAAGGCTGAGGGGGAAAAAAAAACCGAGGCTGAAATCGATGCTGAAGAATCTGCTGGGGCCAAGTCTCCCACTTTGAATAAGCAAGTCCTAGACTTGACATAGGATAAAGAAGAGGTTAAGGTCCTAAAAAATATCTCCGCTGAGAAAGCCGCATCTGAGGCCAAGATTGTTTCTGCCAAGAAGAGTATGAACCAGACCCTTCTTGAGATTGATGCCGAGATAGCGGTCGAGAAAATGGGAGCTCTACCAACCAAGGCCGACACAATGGCAATAGCTGAGGTTCAGCAATCCGAAGTTAACACCAATGTTTCCAGTACTTAGGATTTTCTCTTTACATGTACTTTTTTCTTAGACAGTTGTACCTTTTTGGCAATTTTAACAATGACAATTTTATTTTGGCCAATGTGGCCTCTGCTCTGTAATTGAACAAGTTTCCTCCTTGAATGCATGCTTCTTTTTCTCTAAGTTTTTGTATGCTTACTCCACTACTTCTGTATCTTGCATGTTTCCACACTTGGAATATTTTAACAATTTTTTCAAGTATACCTTAACTGTGTAATCACTTTGGGTTGGAACATATCCGACATGTATCTCTTCAGGTGCGCCCCTTAAATGGTTATCTCGGACCCACTTACCTCGGAGTTCACCTTTTGTTGTGATCTCGGCCAACGAGCACTTTACAAAAATTCTTTGAATTTCAACAAGTATTGCTTCCTTACTTCTACTTGTTGTCTTTTAAAACTTTATCCTTCCAACCCCTCCAAGCTTGACATCCTGGTTGGTTATCTCAGGTAACAAATACCTCGGGTATCTCCTGATTTGGTTACCTCGGTTGACTCCAACTTGTAAATTGTTGTAAAAAATTTTAACAAGTGTCAAGCCTATTTCTCATTTCTTCTCTTTGCCCCATAATGTGAACCTAAGTACTACTTATGTTCACATTAAGCATGCATCTCTTCTCTTTTTTTTTTCTTTTTTTTTTGCCAAAGTCTGATTCAAACAAATCCTAGCCGAGGTTTTCTACCTCAGTGTCTTTGTTAATCCGATTAGATCAAACTTAGTTCAACTCTACCATATGGCAAGTGTTAATTTAGCTCTACCATATGGCGAGTCTAAGTTATTCATCATGTTTCATTCAGAAACATCACAAACTTAGTTCAAATTTACCATATGGCAAGTGTTAATTCCACTCTACCATATGATAAGTCTAAGTTATTCGTCATGTTTTATTCGGAAATATCACAAACTTAATTCAACTCTACCATATGGTAAGTGTTAATTCAACTCTACCCTATGGCAAGTCTAAGTTATTCGTCATGTTCATTATGGGAACATCATCATAAGACTTTCTTAGTCCTATCGCATAAGCTAGGGTTCTATTAAAACTTCGGCTAATTACATAAATCTCTATAAAAACAAAAACTAATGATAGAAAAACTTCAAATTGTAAGTGTTCCAGGGTCTTGACAACTCCTTGCCATCAGTGTCTTCTAGCCGATATGCTCCATTGCAGGTGACCGAGATGATTTGGTAAGGCCCTTCCCAGTTTGGGCCAAGCTTGCCCTCCTTGAGATCCTTCTTATTGTCGACGACTTTTCTAAGGACGAGGTCCCCAACCTTGAACTCCCTTGGGTTAACATTCTTGTTGTAAGCCCTAGCAAGCTGCTGTTGGTATGCCCCCAGCCAAATTGTTGCTCTCTCCCTTTTTTCGTCCAACAGGTCCAGATCTCGGGCCAAGAATGCCTCGTTGGTCCTATTCTCCACTCCTTGGGTTCTGATTCCAGGGATGCCGACGTCTAATGGAATGACTCCTTCGGTGCCATATGCCATGACAAAAGAGAACTCCCCAGTAATTCCTCCACCCATTTGCCCTTGGTTGCTTCTAGCCTCTTCTGATCCTATCCAAGATGGTCTTGTTAGATACTTCTGCCTGACCATTACTCTGGGAGAAACTAGGAGTAGAGTAATAGTTCTTAATCTTGTATTTTGCACAAAAGCTCTTAATCAACTTACTGTCAAACTGAATGCCATTGTCTGCTATGATGGCCCTTGGCATCCCGAACCTGGTTATTATGTTCTTCCAAATAAAGTTTTTCACATCAATATCTCGAATCTTCGCAAGAGGTTCAACCTTTACCCACTTTGTAAAGTAGTTTGTGGCTACTAGCAAGAACCTTCTCTGTTCAGTTGTCTAGGGCAGTGTTCCCACCAGGTCCATGCCCCACTGGGAAAATGGCCAAGGATTGGATACTAAGTTTACATTTGCTGTTGTCTGATGTATCAAAGGTGCAAACCTCTGACACTTCTCACACTTCCTAACATAGGTTTCAACATCCTTTTGTATGTATGGCTACCAGTATCCCCAAGATATGGCTCTATGGGCAAGTGACCTACCCCCTACATAGCTTCCACAAATCCCTTCATGGATCTCATATAAAAAAAATCCTCTACTTGAGAGGGATGCACACACCGGAGTAGAGGTCCAGTGAAGGATCTTTTGTATAGATGGCCTTCTGTTGACAGGCAGAACCTGGCCAACTTCAACCTGGTTTTGTGTGCCTCTTTTTGGTCGTCTGGCAGTCTGTCTTCTTTGAGGAACATAACGATGGCGTCCATCTAGCTAGGACCCATTTCTATGCACATTGTTTCGTACTCCGTTATCAGAGGCTTTAGACTTGGGCCTGACAAATAATCAACTATTATTGTCCTTGTCTCACCTGATTTCATTGCACTAGCTAGGTTTGCCAAGGCATCGGCATGACTGTTGTCATTCTGGCTAACCTACTGTAGCTGGCAATCCTGGAATAGTGTGAGCAGCCTGACAACCTCTTGGACATAAGCTATCAACCTTTCATCTCGGGCTGTGTACTCGCCCGTTGCTTGATTCACAATAAGTTGGAAGTCACAGAAGATTACCACCTCATCAGCTTCCCTGGCTACTGCTAATTTCAGTCTTGCAATTAGCGCCTCATACTCTGCTTCGTTGTTTGAGGCCTTGAATCCCAAACGAATAGATTACTCAACCATTCGCTCGTCTGGCGATATCAACACCACTCCTGCCCCCGCTCCCTGACCGTTTGAACTTCCATCAACAAACAGGTAGAAGGACTCGCCGATGTATATGTCGCAGGGTTTTGGTTTCTCCTCATTCTTCTGTTTTGCTGGAGTGGGTTCCTTTGGTCCCAATTGGGTCTCTTTCTACTCTCCTAAACATCCTAAGCCGTGGTTTAACGGAGCCCGCCTTGGGATTGCGCCAAGAGTGAACTTGGCCACAAAGTCGGCTAGCACTTGGCCCTTGATTGTTGTTCTAGGCCTGAACTCTAAGTCGTATTGGCCCAGCACCACTACCCATCTGGCTATTCTACTTGTCAGATCTCCATACTGCAACAGGGACTTCAGGGGATGTTCAGTCAGCACCACAATCTTGTGGGCTTAGAAGTAGTGATTTAGCTTTTTAGAAGCCATCACCAGGACTAGTGTCAACTTTTCCAAGGGCAAGTACTTGGTTTCTGCACTTGCTAGGGTTTTACTCACATAGTATGCTACCTTTTGCTCTCCCTCCTCTTCTTGAATTACCACCGCACTTACTTTGTGGTCTGAAACTGCCAAGTATAGGAACAATTCTTCTCTAGGTATTGGATTTGATAGAACTGGAGCCGTTATCAGGTACCTTTTCAAGTCGACTAAGGCAACTTTGTACTTTTCTATCCACAAGAAATCTGTGGCCTTTTTTAACAATTGAAAAAATGACTTGCATTTATCAAAACTTCGGCTGATAAATCTATTCAAGGCTGCTGCCTTGCCGGCAAAATCTGGACCTGCTTGGCTGATGTCGGGCTTTTAAAATCTAGGATAGCCCTATCTAATCTGGGTTTGCTTCTATGTCCCTCATGGTGACCAAGTATTCCAGGAATTTACCGGACCCGACTCCAAATGCACATTTTGAAGCATTGAGTCGGAGCTGATATTTTCTTAGGATGTCAAAGACTACCTTCAAGTCGGCCAGATGGTTCCTAGGTCCTTTGGTCTTCATGACCATGTCATCAATGTAGACCTCTATTGTCTTTCTAATAGATGCTTAAACATCTTGGTCACTAACGGCTGGTAGGTTGCTCTTGCATTTTTTAACTCGAAAGGCATTACTCTGTAATAATAGAGTTCTTTTGGGGTGATAAATGCCATATTCTCTTCATCCGGGACATACATTGTTATCTAGTGGTACCCTCTGTATCCGTCTAAGAAACTCATCCTCCCATGCCCTGAAGTGGCATCTACTAACTGATCAATTTTGGGCAGTGAAAAACTGTCCTTGGGGCAAGCCTTATTCAGGCTAGTGAAGTATACGCAGACCCTCTACTTGCCGTTTTTCTTTTTCACAACTACTGTGTTGGATAGTTGTAGCTTGACTTTTTGTGCCCCCTTTCAGAAGATGATAAGCCTTACAGTATTGGACTCCCACGGTTCTGAATCTGATCTCACAAGTGCAATGTGAAATAGATAAACACCAAAGAGTCCCAATCTAACAAATCTTTTTGAAAAATCGATTTTGATTCAAATTGCTAAAAATGGATTGCTTTGCTAAATACAAAGTCGCCACCTAAATATTTTTGGAAAATTTAGAAAACCCACGACTCGTATCAAAGGCCACGTGTCCGTCATCGCCAAGATTGTCTCGGCTCGAGAACTTAGGTACGAGAGGGGAAAGTCATGAATTAAGCACCCCCGCTCACCCGATCAAAGATCGGTCTCTACTAATCATGATATGAATCTTATGTACATTATTTACTCTTGTTTCGATTTGTTAAGCTTACATTACTATGTGATGCGTACACACTCAAGTATAGACTTTGCAAGAATTTGAACATTTGATTCATGTTTGTTTTTTGAAAATTATTTTGAATATGTACCACTTGAAAAAGTGGTCGCATATAAGCATTACTCAAATTATTCCAATTCAAACAATTAGCCTTCATCCACAGGCATTCAGATAGTTATAACATTAAGCAATTAGCCTCATGGCAAGCATGCTAGACATGGCAACATCAACATGCGATATGCTAAAACGAGTAAAGGCTTATTTAGTACTCCAAGCCAAAAAAGAAACTAGTTAGAAAAATGCACGATTCCTAACTATGCGATATGACTAATGCAACGCATGCGATATGCAATTTACTAGGATCGGCTACTAATATGGCAAATGAAGTAATTTGATAGCATACAGTCGCACGTATTCAAATAATGTTTAACTAACAATGCAAGTTAGAATGATGCGTCGAGCTTTGGTGCATGCAATACAAGTAGATGCAAATCATGAAATATGTTAAACAAAACATGATACCCTAAACTAACTATCATAAGCTAGAAAATAAAAAGGAGAAAACGTGGGGTTGGAAGACATACACATTATTGCAACATTGCGCCCTCACACA